AAAGGACCAGCATAAACCAGCAAAAGGACCAGCATAAACCAGCAAAGGACCAGCATAAACCAGCAAAAGGACCAGCATAAACCAGCAAAGGACCAGCATAAACCAGCAAAAGGACCAGCATAAACCAGCAAAGGACCAGCATAAACCAGCAAAAGGACCAGCATAAACCAGCAAAGGACCAGCATAAACCAGCAAAAGGACCAGCATAAACCAGCAAAGGACCAGCATAAACCAGCAAAAGGACCAGCATAAACCAGCAAAGGACCAGCATAAACCAGCAAAAGGACCAGCATAAACCAGCAAAGGACCAGCTTAAACCAGCAAAAGGACCAGCATCCCAGCGTCAAAACATACCTAACCGGCATATGCTGTTTTTTTCAACAGGGTAGCAAGACAATTTTATGAAAACTGTATGGTAAATCGCTATATGGCAAGAATCGTATTTATTTTAAAGAATCCTGATGGTTTCAACAGGCATTATGAAAGTGCATGTTAGTGAAAATGAAGTTAGTCCCATTTTTAGTTTGATGGGAACAGAACTGGAACTGATGTTGACTCTGTGTGGTTTCATTGTGTCTTGGTTTTGTTTGCCCTGATCCCCTTTTGCCTATGTTCCAGCTCATTAGTTTCTATAGTTTCTGATGGATCACATCCCAGTTTCTGTTCCAGGTGTTTACCTCACGCTGTTTATAAGCCCTTAGTTTCTCTGTTTTGTTGGCCATCGTGTTTCTGTATCAGGACCTTTTTATTAATTCTTCTCCATATGTCTATTTCAAAAGAATCTTGAATGACACATCACTACTAAAATGACTGCTTTGAATCACTGTAAAATATCCTTCTGTATGGCTGATGATGCACGGGGCAACTTTTTGAGCAATGTTGCTGGGCAACTTTGGGGATTGTTGCCGTCTATGGGCAACCAGGTGAGACACAGGGCCCACGACCGATCTAAAGTATCCAGATAGACATTTGTTACCCATTCTCAATGGAAAAGTGCCCAGGTAACATTGCTCAAAAAAAGTTGCCCTGTGTATCATCAACCTATGTCCATTTCTCTTCAGTCTCTGTGTTGTTTATTTGGCATATGTGACATATGTCACTATATATACACTATATATTAGTGCTGTCAAATGATTAATCGCGATTAATCGCATCCAAAATAAAAGTTTCTGTTCACATAATATATGTGTGTGTACTGTGTATATTTATTATGTATATATAAATACACACACATGCAGTATATATTTTGAAAATATGTATGTGTATTTATACATATATTTATATATAATATAAATTATATGAATATAAATATATATTTAATATATAAACATTACCTATTTTTCTTAAATATATACATGCATGTGTTTGCATTTATATATACATAATAAATATACACAGTACACACACATATATTATGTGAACAGAAACTTTTATTTTGGATGCGATTAATCGCGATTAATCATTTGACAGCACTAATATATAGTGTATATATATATATGAACATACCTGAATTATTAATTGTAGAGTTTTAAAGATGCACAATGTAAAAATATTTTGTACAAAAATATTTAAAAAATAAAATAAAATATATATATATATACATATATATAAAATATAAAAAATGTATATAATGACTGCTTCATTACTAAGCAACCATGAGCTGTGGATAAAAGCATTTCCAGCACCGAAAATCTATTGCAGTCGCTAGATTAATTAAAAAATGGTGATCAGATATTCCTCCATCTGGACTGAGCTTTAATGTTTCTACGGAAAAGGTGAAGCTGATTGGTTGGTTCTCGCCACATGACCATGCGCTTGCAGCATTCTGGAAAGTTGAGATGTTTTCATCTCACCGCGGCATTAGCTATGTTTCCATCCAAAGATGCGAATTTAACAACGCAAAACTGGAATATCGCATAAAACATTTGCGAATAAAGCACCGTTTCCATCCAACGAGTCAAAGAGAACAAAACCGTCACTTCCTGATAAACTGGCACTATATATCTCTAAGAAAACTAGGAGAAGCCACTGAATATAATAATTCTCATATGTAATAAATTACTTGCGCCTCAGAGCGAGCAGACGAAACACGATAAATGCGGTCATTGCTTTTAGAGGTGGATGCTGCTGTTTGGGAGCGCAGTCGTGTGAGACAGTAATTATACAGAAATACTTTGCTCAGGCGTTCAGAACGACCAGAACAACATATAGATGCTGTGAACGAGATCCGTCCGCTGCTAGTCACGTTATCCCGTCTCATGACATTTTCTATGCACATGGTGGAATTTATTCGGTAAATGTGTTTCCATCGTAGTTTTCTTATCGGATAAAAAGTTTATCCTACTCAATTGTGCGCATTAGTTTTTTATGCACATTTTTAGAATGTATGCGCATCTTGGCGTTTCCATCCAGCGGTTTTTTTATGCGATATTCCAAAAATCGCATAAAAATAAGTGGATGGAAACAGCTATTGGTGCACCTTGAAAGATCGAGCGCATCGCTTACGCATCTCGACCGTGTTGCCTCTATTATGAGCGCACTTGCCACGCGTCTACATTTTTAATAACAAAACTTGAGTTCATGCATTTTCCTTTATTAACCACTAGGGCAAAAAAAACGTACATAGTGCGCCTAAAGAAACATTTCAGTCCATGACAAAAGCAACTACATGTAGTACAAAAGTAGCAAAAGTGTCTTATTTGATTTAAGTCACTCAAAATCAACATTGATTATGTTACATTTGCAGTTCGTCAAGTAATCTGAGCAAATAGAGCAAGAAAAGATTTCATGATTTAATCAACTTTCAAGGTTCAACCAGATCTTTGCATTTATGCGTCTTATCGATCTTCAACACCAGCATGACTGAAATGACACACGAAACACTGTATCACTGCATTCAGGATCCTCCAGCAACTGTCTTTATTGGTAGGTCCACTGCATGAAATGTTTTTCTTTTTCTGCCGTGTCTGTGTTGCGAGTTGCAGCTCCTTTAATAAAGAAGAAGATTCCCGTAGCTGCTCCCAGCAGCGCCAGAGTGAACCCTGCTCCACAGAACACCGCCGGACCCAGACGGGGCGAGACAGCAGCCGTCTCTGGGACACCTGTTGATCATTGTATACACTTGTCAGTGCTGTAATGCTGATGCACTTTGTCACAGAATGACGTATATACGTACATCATTTCTACGGAAAGCAACTGGGAATAGCACGATTTAGTGTCATTTGATTTGAGTGACACTTACCCCATATTTTGGTCTGCGCTTGGCCCTGGAGGGCTCTGTGGTTCACCGTACAGCTGTAAATGTCCCTCTCTTCAGGAACAATATCCAGAGAGGAGAAGATGTGGAAGGTGCCGTCATTCCTCGGTCGGTACCGACTCAGACTCTCACCTTCCGTCACAACGACATTGTTCTTGGTCCACGAGATGTTGACAGGCGGAGGAAAGAAGCCCGTGACGTGACAGACGAGGGAGTTCTCAACACCCAGCTGAACAGCATTCTTCGGATAGATGGACGTCTCAGGGGGGTCTGGGAACACACAAAACTGTGTTGAGCTGAATCTGATCTCATTCAAATAACATATCTAATCTTGTAAGCCAAAACTCACTCTTAACCAAACTCTTGATGACACCGAATGCATAATATGGAGCTCATTTAAGTTCTATTTCCAAACTGAATGTTAAGAAATATGTTACAGGAAAACTTGTGCAAATTTACATCATACCCATTTCCTCTGGCGGGCTCTTGTAAGCTTTAATGCATACAGCTAGGTTTTGTTGGCATGCTTCTTGTGCCGCAATGCTTGATTCATAAAATCCTGGAAAGCGCAAAGCATCTGCAAAATCTGGTAATGTATTTACTCCCATCTGTTGAATAAAGTCAGCATGCCATATCTCTTCTCCATCAGATCCACACACAGATTCTTTTTCTGTGTCAGAACATCCATTAATTTTGAAATCGTTGTGTACAACTGAAATGGAACAAACATCAAGAGACAAAAGATAAATTAGAACTATCCAGAGGCCGAGAGAAATAAAGGATGAACTGCATATCGTATGCTTTTCTTACTTAGTATCTTTGTCTTGTTTCTATTCCAAATACCTAAAAATTGTCAAATCAAGAAGCATTTACTAGACAAGTAAAAAAAAAAATTTTTTTTTAATTGTTATTTATTAACATTTTTTGCTTACCCCATTGGCAGATTTTTTTTTTGTTTTACTTACTTGATTTTGACACAAATGCTAAGTAAGAAAAGCATTATTATTTTTATTTTTTTGCAGTGTATAACTATTAAAGGATTTACGGGAAAAAAGCCTAAATTTTGTCACTGGTTTAACACACCGGTAGTTTTTAAATGTAAGGATGTCCTATACAGCTGATCTTAACATCCACTGACCACTTATAATCACCATTGTAGTCAACTAGTCATCAACTGTTTGAATGACAAGGTGATCAAAATACATCACCAGAAGTAAACGTATCACAGTGTATAAAAAGCTTACTCAAAGCATTAGTGTGCTTCATGAAATCATACATCCTTGTAGAGGTTTTTCACATTTAAAAAAAATCTGTGGATGTATTTTAATATACAGAGCATGAACTTACATTGAGCATCAGCTGAGAGACAAACAGCGAGGGTAAGAATGGCCAGATACAGCTCCATCTTTACAGACAACAGTGGAACAGAGAAACAGACTTTGAAGGAGGTGAATGAGAGCGGGCAGGAATCCCTCCCTGTGAAGTCAGTTCCAGTTTCAGAAGCTCGTCCTCCACTCAGAATTTGGCCCTCGCTGTGACACTGCTGTATCCAGAAATAAAATATGTTTTTCCTGTTTCAGCTCTCAGGCTACAGTCATAAAGACTCCTTTACTCAAAACTGTAGTTTAAGTAAAGTTGATGACCACTATCATCAACGATGACTGGCAGTTGGCATACAGTTTGGATTGGCGGTATGGTTCTGTTTTGGGCAAAAACTCCCTGCCCATCTATGCAGCCTAGCATGGATAAGAGCAGGGAAAGCAGCAATAACCCCCCCAAGGGTAAACAGAATAGAACCAACATGAATGTATTGCAGATATCATTAATGTTCAATAATTTGATGTACACGTAATTTTAGAATCAGTCTGATTCAAAGGGAAATCAGAAGACCTAATGCTGGCTGGACGAAGGAGGAGCTGGGGATGGAGGAGGGTAATTAGCACAGCTGTTTTATGATTGGCTGGATTCACCACGTCACAACGATCGCATGTGATTCGTGTTTATTCTGTCAGCTTCTCTTTTACCACATCTCAGCCTGGTTTGGCAATCTCAGTGTACATTTCAAAGCTCAGATTACAAGGTAAATACAGAGAGCCGTTAAAATGATGGGAGTTAAGCAACATTCCACACTTTAGGCTGTTTTTGATGAGACAATTATTAGGCGGGCTCAGAAATTAATTTCAGACCCCACTCATGTCCTTCACTCTGAGTACCAACTTCTTCCTTCGGGAAGACGCTTCGAGTTCCTCAGTGTAGGCTTAACCGTTTTAAGAACTCCTTTGTCCCTCTGTCTATTAAAGCAGTGTTTCCCAACCGGGGTGCCGTCTGTCGAGAGCAGGGGTGCCGTATAAAAAATCCTTTTTTAATATTTTTAAATTGCTAAAATGTTAAAAAAAGCATCTATTATATAATATCTATTTCTGATGTCGGAAAAAAGGATAATTAGAGATGCACCAAAATTTCGGCTGCCGAAAATTAGTTCACCGCTCAGGTTTCACTTTCACGTGGTGTGATGCTCTGCGTATTATCCCGCTCTATGCGTGTGCACTCCGCTCAGCTCCACTCGTATACCGTTCATGCTCATCGGAACAGCAAAGTCTGCCACAAGTTTGTTAAAATTTCCAAAGGGTGCCGCGACTAAAAAAAAGTTGGGAAACACTGTATTAAAGCATTAAATGGTAAGTTAGCTAGAGGGTAACAATTATTTTCCTCCCCCCCTTCTTTTGTTTGTAATTATATATGATTATCGGTTTGTTGCATGATGGGGAGTGTGATTTTTTTACGCCGTGGTTAATGTATTCACTGTATATTGTGGGTAGGGTAGAGATGGCTTGCTCTATGTATTATATGTATGAGCAATATCACTCGAGTACGAGAGCGATACCGGCTCTATATGAGGGAGTGTGATCACCTGCATCTGATACAACATTCATTCATCAGCTCAATCTCATATTCACAATAAAACATTAGTTTGAATGTCCGCTGAGGAAAGCGATATCTTTGTCGTACTGTCCTTTCATCTGTTAAGGATGATTTCCAATGACAGCGCTGCTCACTGCATTTGTTAACTGCGTCTTACAAGCTGTTATTAAAAGTAAAAATAACTTCCGTTTTAGTCTCTTTCAATGTAAAAGTTTTAAATTCTGACTCGTAAAACAGTCACATGTCGCCATTTAATGGCGGAACAATGTCACAAAAATCACCATCACGAACACACACACTGTTTCCTAATACTAAATACTACTATGTATATAAAATATTATTTATTGAATAATAAACAACAA